GCCGCCCTCCACCTCGCCGTCGCCGCCGCCCTCCACCTCGCCGTCGCCGCCGGCGGCGGCCTCTCTCTCTGGGCCGTCGCCGCCGCCGCCCTCGCCTCCGTTTACGCCCGGAGTTCAGGACTACCCTTGCCTCAGCGATCTGACGGCAATCAGCTTTGCCTCGAGCTCTATAGCCGACGACAACTTTGCCGGCCGAACGTCTTCAACAGCGCCTTTCTCTACCCGTGTGGTGAACGTGGCCACGCACGACGGCCGCCAAATCGACCTCGTCTTCAACTCGCCGGATGGCGATCTCCCGCAATGCGACGACAACGATGCCACTTACGGTACCAACAATGGCAAGCATTGCAAGGTGAGCCTGGCCAGCGGCATCGGCAACTTCAGGGTAGGCCAGCCCGCAAACGTGTCGTACAAGGTGAGCTGGAACTTCGTGTACGCCAACGACAGCACGCCGGCCGTGCTCCCCAGATTTGCAATCACGTTCCTAGATATGGGGGCCGGGGAGTTTGTAGCCATCAACGACGGATCTTACGAGGCTGTGGCCTATGGCAGCCGGATCAACGGATCCACGCCGGCCGTAGAAAACTACGACGGCTGGGCGACGCAGTTCATCTCCGAACCTTCGGGGCAGACCATCGAAGACGTGACGGATCCGTTGAGCATGACCGAGGACCAGCAGTCGGGCACCATGCAGTTTATCTTCTCCAACACCGACCACTTCGTTGTCGAGCTTGGCAGGACGGGCACGCAAATCAAGTGCTGCACCAAGATCATGTTTACTGGCGCGAGCAACACGGGTGACTGGCCTTCGTGCGCCCCGCCGCCCTCTGCGCCGCCCTCGGCGCCGCCGCCCCTTCTTCCGGCGCCGCCGGCACTGCCACCGCCGCCCTGCGTCTGCTCGCTCTACTACGACCTGGAGCGCGGCCTCGCGAGCTCGCCCACCTTCCTTAACTCCACCAACGCGCTCTTCTACACCCTCCAGACCAGCTCCGCCTGGCCGCTCAGCCTCCCCGTGTACGACCCGGCGTGGGGCTGCGCGTGCGAGAGCGCCGAGGACCGCCCCGTCTGGCTCGCCGCCCTCGACCTGTGCTTCTGGTTCGACAACCAGACCGCGACGCAGCGAGAAGCGCTCTTTGGAGGCTCGGGACAGCTGCAGCAGGCGTACGAGCGCGCCTGCAACGCCTTTGCACCGGGCGAGCAGTTCAACGAGTACTACCACCACGTCCGCCTGTGCGCCACGCCCGCCTTTGTGCGCGAGATCTACTTCCTCGCCAGCAAGGAGTACTGCGTCCCCGAAGAAGCAACAGCTTCCAGCTCTACCCGCGTCTCGCCCGCGACGGCGCCATGATGTGCGGCACCGACATCGGCCCGGCCGGGGCCACGCAGAGCAACCACGAGGCGACCTGCCCCTGCAACATCTTCTTCGACTACGATGCGCTGGCCAACTCCTCGGCGACGGCGCTCGACAGCGTCAACACCTTCTACGCCGCGATCAGCCAGCCCAACTGCTCGTGGCCGGTGCGACGGCCTGGCTGCTCTTCTGCCAGGGTCTCATACCCTCGCCGTCGCCGCCGCCCTCGCCATCATTCCTTCCGGCACCACTCTCTTCGACGAGTTCTTAGCATACAATCCTGCGACCAATTCTGACAGGCGCGGCCTCTCTCACAGCAGACTAGCACGACAAGGGCGCGGACTGGC